AGAAAAATAACAGAAATCATGATAATGAAATAGCAGTCAGAAAGAAATATGAAGAGTTACAAGTTGATGTTGTCCGAGGATGAGAGAAGAGCCAGTTGCCCATGTTGAGTATGTTTCACCTATGTCGCAAATAAATTAGGCGACCCCTTGTCGACCTAGTTGCGTAATTAGAGGCCCCCTCTATGTATGCTCGAGAGTGTTCCCAACGGGTCGAGTAGACACTCGTCAAACTGATGCTCATCTCCCATTTTTTTTTCTATTCTCTTCCGACAAATAGAAAAAAACAAGCAGGGCGCCGAGCCTTTCTGTCAGAAGACGCATGTGACCGTTACTCGACGCGTTGTTTTTATTTTTATTTTTTATTTCTAGCAATTCCATTGGTAGTGAGCTTCCGAATGGATCCGTGGAAATTTTGTTTTAGTAGGAAGGATGCGCGTTTCGCGCGCGCTAGCTAGGTTGCATGGAATAATGCATTAATTTAATAAAATTTATGGAATTACAGCTCAATGTAATTTCAATCATTTGTAATTCCTATCTGTACTGAAATACGCCGAGCCTTTCTGTCAGAAGACGCATGTGACCGTTACTCGACGCGTTGTTTTTTTTTTTTTCATTTTTTATTTCTAGCAATTCCATTGGTAGTGAGCTTCCGAATGGATCCGTGGAAATTTTGTTTTAGTAGGAAGGATGCGCGTTTCGCGCGCGCTAGCTAGGTTGCATGGAATAATGCATTAATTTAATAAAATTTATGGAATTACAGCTCAATGTAATTTCAATCATTTGTAATTCCTATCTGTACTGAAATACGCCGAGCCTTTCTGTCAGAAGACGCATGTGACCGTTACTCGACGCGTTGTTTTTTTTTTTTTCATTTTTTATTTCTAGCAATTCCATTGGTAGTGAGCTTCCGAATGGATCCGTGGAAATTTTGTTTTAGTAGGAAGGATGCGCGTTTCGCGCGCGCTAGCTAGGTTGCATGGAATAGTGCATTAATTTAATAAAATTTATGGAATTACAATTCAATGTAATTTCAATCATTTGTAATTCCTCTTTGTACTGAAATATGTACTACGTTAATCTCTAAAAATATCTTATGTAGTGTTTCATCTTTATGTAGTGAAATGTTGCACATCTGAAATTCCAGCCTGTAATATAGCTAGAGCTCGAATCTTAGCAAATTTCAACTTCCTATCTCAATTTTTTCAAGCGCCATCGTGTTCACTTCAATTTTATCACAAAAAATGAAAAATGTCAATTACTGGGCGACTCGCAATAGTTAGTTAGGCATATTATGGTCTGATTCGATAGTTATTATCATAAGGAATATTTTAACACCAAAAAAGTTCTCTTGATGCAGTCGTTTTTGAGATATTGAGAAAAGAAAATTTTTTCGAAATCGCTGTATCTCAAAAACTACTGGACCGATTGAGCTAAAATTTCGCCCAGATGTGCTCCCAAACAAAACCAATTATGAGCCAATATTTTCGATTTTTATCCATCACTTTAGTCCTATTTTTATTGAAATTTAGCAGACATACTCTAAAAACATCATATGTCGACATTTCATGACATTCCAAGTCATTTCCAAGCAAAATTAAAGAATCAAAAAGTCAACCCATTGCAAAGCTTCCATTCGGAAGAAAAAACACAAAGAATATCTAATAACTTCGCTCTACAACGAAGAACAAAAGAATTACCATTGAAATATCGCAATGGAGGAGGTTAAATTCTCAATGTCCAAAATGTTACTCCCAAAATTTTCATAGTCATGACTTTTGTTATACTGCATTCTTCATTTTATGATCCACCATACCCAGTTGTCTCTCTTATTGCAAGCTCTCCCGTCCATCTGTCGGCCTCGCCCATTAAAAACGGCCGGGTTGCAATTACGGTTAAAAATAGCGAAAAAGGAGAGGAGAGTTTGAAACTGAGAGAGACACGTTGTTGCGCACTATTGCATCAGACACGATGATCGAGTTGGGTGAAACGTCACCGTCCAAATCACAATAAAAAATTCAATGAAGCTAGGAAATCAATGAGAAAATTTTGAAAATGTACAACCCACGTATCTCACGACCACTTCCATCCAAGTTTTTTCCCTCAATTTTTCTCCTTCAATTTAATTTCCACTGAAACTCCCATGTCTGCACTGCGCACAGAGCAAGAAAATAAAAAAATAATACGACTTCATTTGAAATTGTTAACAAAGTAAAATCCGATTAGCCGAGGCTTTTGCATGGCCCCTGAAAATAAAAATGGACATTTTACTTCTTTTGAAAAATCCAACAAGAGGATTTGCGCTATTCAATGCGGATGATTTTTTTTCCCGTCAAATGTCTCTGAGATAAAATCTATTGTATCTAAACTAGCGTCGCGAGACAACTGTCCTTGAAGCCGATAATTGTTTGTTGCGACATTTGAAGAAAAATCATTAAAGGTGATGTCAATAAAAGTCAGTGGAGAGCGTCAAGTGCAAGTCCTTCCCCGGCGGCTTCCACATAAATAAATAAATAACAAAATAGCATAAACAATTGTAGTCAACATTACTGTGGAGTTCCTTACACTCAATATCTGTGGATTTTTTGAACACGCGTACGAGCTGGAGAGAATGCTCGTAAACGTTTTCCATGAACGGCGTGGGAAGTGCAGTAAAATTTTCTGACCACTACTTCAAAGCGTTATTCCCCGTCGTATTTTTATAAGAAAATAAAATTTGAACTTGAATTAAATATAGGGCTGGTGGCACGTGACCATGAGACATTATGTTATTTATTAGATTTTTGCTACGTTTGATTTACGGGGAGACTACTGTGAGTTTTAAAAGTCGCGGGCTATTGGAATGAGATTTCTCATACATTGTTATAGTACGTTTGCCCCGCACACACTTAAAATGTTGCAAATAGTCCAGGGCCTCCAACTTTTGAGCTACAGAGTGTTATTTTGTCGAAATTGTTGAAAAAATTAGTACAATAACAATTACGAATTTGTTTTTTGAAATTCGACTCCTACACAGCTAATTTCTTTTTTTTTTCAATAAAAAATTGCACCATTCATGTAAAGTAGGCCAAAAAATGTTTCTGAAAGAATCGAGAATATATTTTAAATATTATACGGATAATTTTTTTGCCTATTTTACATAAATGGCGCAAATTTTTATTTCAAAGAAAATAAAATTAGCTGTGTAGGAGTCGAATTTCAAAAAAATAATTTTATCAAGAGAATTTTATTTGAACCAACTATTCGTTGATTTTCAAATAAACATGATTTTATAGTGAATAGGGTAAGCTACCCAGTAGATGGACACTGCCCAATAGATGGGCGAGCTACTTTTGGATAGGAAATTACGTAAAAAAATACTGAAATGTGAATTGTTGCTTTGAATTTTCACTAACTGTTGATTCTCAACCCCTGGGTGACGATTTTTTTTCCATCAATTTTTTTTTTTCAATTGTTAAAAAACAAACGTCCATCTACTGGATGGTTTTCTTAGGCGTCCATCTACTGGGCAGTTTACCCTACCACTTATTTCTTCCTGAGATCCATTTGCTGGGGAGAAATCAAAGTTCTCTGGAATTGAAGTTTCTTTTATTTGTCGGAATAATTAGAGCATTTGATTTCTTTTTAGCCAAAAGTTAGCTAATTCCAGAAATTCGTTAGTTCACTGAAAAATCAAAATTATTCTCATGACTAAATACGTTGTTATCTGAATCAACACGATCATACGTTGTTCCAAGTAAATTATAATTGAAGTGAGCATTTCGTATGTCGAATCAGGATGAATATTGTTACGCGGAAAAAGCTTTAAGATTGTAGTAAGGTGTTGTTGAGTTGAAAGAAGTTTATATTTCTTGACTAAAAAAAATCGCATTAGTTTACAATAAGAGAATCACAGATTACGGCAATTCAACACGAACTTGGATATCACAAATTTCATTCAATATGATGTACGGAAAGCTCAATTTAAACATCGTCTTCATTCGAGAAAACAACATTCAATTAATTCCTGAATGTAATCATCTCCTAGGTACGAATTTTCGATCAATTCATGAAAGTAGAAAATTTCTCGACTGCAGATTATATGAGGTTGAAAAACAATGCAACTTGTCGTTTTTTGAGGTGAATACATGTGACTTGACGCCGAGAACTGTTTCATTTGATTCAAGTAAACGTATCTCAAGAAGAAATAATTGATATTTACCGTAAGATCTTATTTATTTGAAATTGGTTCAAGTATATAATACTCATTCCAAGAAAGAAACATCTCAATAAAAATGATTTTTTCTATCAGTGTAGCTCAAAAATTGAAGGCCCTGAGCTATTTTTAACATTTTAAACGTGTGCGGGGCAAACGAACAACAAACAATCGAGAGTTTTTGCACTAATTATTTGTATTTAGACATATATATAATCGATATTCAATGCATGAGAAATCGCACTCCGATCGCCCGCGACTTAAAAATCAAAGTAGTCTCCCCTTCAAGAAAATAGTATTCTGAGGCGCGACTTGGCCCGATACGCTACCGCGTATCTCGATTCATTTTTATAATCTTTCATTTTTGCTCATGAATTTGGGAGTAAATATGAGAGCGCAATGCAATAGTAATGAAATTGTTTGAAGGTTCAAATGGAGGTTGCAGAGAATGACTTATGTAACAACGGCAAATAACGCTAATGAGCATACAACGCCTTCTTCAGTGCCTACAAACTCACAATATCTGTCTTCAGACTATGTTAAAATAAACGTGAAGAGGATTTTTTTTTCAACTCGAAATTGGCCAATTCATCCGCAAAAAGGTTGAGTAGTATATAAACAATGAGTAACCCATTATCATGATTGTTATCACATAAACAGGAATTTAAGACCATTAGAATTCAGTACAATCGAATTGATTAGATATCATCTGACATATCTCTCACCATAATTCAAAAGCCACCTCATCAAATAATAAAGATAATTATCAGCTATTAATAAGTGTACGATAATTCGGTGTAATTCTCACCTGGACTAGTCTGCCATGATAGACCACCGATGAACATTTTCCTAAACAGAAAAAATAGGGTGATTTTATCGTCACTTTTTCATCGCTTCCACATCCAGCGGTGGTTGTTCCCTCAATTTGTTAACTCTTCAATTTTTCCCCACAGATTGAAAAATTTCAAGTTACCCCCCTGCGCAAACTCCATTTGTGAACACCAGGTGTCGCCACAGATCAAACAACCCCTATTACTCTACGAAAAACCTTAAAATCTCAATTTTTTTCCTTCATCGGGAGATTATCTGCCTTTTACTGTCAATCAAATAATTCAAAATAATTTTGCAACTTGGATTTTTCGCCACCACTCGGCTGCCATATTCCCCGTAAATAGTGAATGAGAATCAACGACAGGAAGTAGATGGTAATATCAATGAGAATCAAAATACTTTGGCGATAATTATTTTATTACTCCCCACCTCCGACTACTACATTGAAAACAGCATCATCCCCACCTTCAAATACACCCAAGACGCCACGTGATCGTGAATAGCATCAACCGCGTCTGCGTCACGTGGTGCTCAATGCTGATTTCTCGGCATGTGAAAAATTCTAGATCCTACGAAAATCACTTCATCATATCCCAAAATGTTTTGACATTACCTATCATTCCAGGCTAATTCTGCGAGTTTTTCTTTTAATACGAAAAATAAAATTGAAGGAAATTTCACATTTTCAAAATGTGCATTCTCAGACTCGATTCAATGAAAAGACTGATGAATTAATTAATTTGCATCATCACAAATGTAAAGAGGTGTGAAAAATCAAATGTCAAATTCCAAACGTTCAATAATACCCCTGTCCCATTTGTATCATTCACCGAGTGCATTTGAGAAAGAAAGAATGAGAAATGAGATGTAAACCAAATGGGATCGCGTACGATGGTGGTGGTATACTCAGTACCGAGGAAGGATAGGTCGCGTGTGCGGGGGTGGCACGAAAACTAAAAAGGGGCGACGAGGGGGGAGGGGAGGGGAGGGGAAGGAGGAGGAGGAGAAGAAGAAGAAGAAGGGGAGATGGCTCTCAGCCCGGGAGGTGGCGTCGACTGAATACATACTCAACTTTCTTCCTCCACTGGCAAAATCTCCCCAAAAATGAAGGAAAAAAACATTGCTCTGAGATTTGAAAAATTGAAAATAAAAAAAAATGTTTTGAACCATCAGCCCCTACCCTGGATCATTTGGAACCTCAGCCATAGATCCGCTAGCAACAATTTCTTGACCCTGGGGCTCCATATTAAAATCCAAAAAATCCTTAGCACAGATTAACCAAACAAACTTCACACTGACAATGTTCTTCGTTTTTTTTTTTTTTAAAACCAACCAATCCGTCGACAGAAATCCTCTTCCAACTTTGTCGTTTTATTTTCCCCCAAACTTCATTCACAATAACTTAAAAAAATCACAGTATCTTCAACTCAAATTGATTTTAATCCAAAAATAATGGTAACACCTTCAGTAATCACCACAGGCAGCGTAACCACACTGAACAAAAAATACGATCCCTTATTCTCTTTCAACAAAATACAAAACTTAAGAAAATAATAATGACAACAAAAACAGTAACACAGCACGCGCGCGCGCGCCTTGTCTGACACACACAGAAAAATAAAAGGAGGGGTGGGGGTGAGGGTTAGAGGCAATGAGGCCCTCGTGTACTGTCGCTTATTCAACGACCGCTGTTCAACCCCCTTTTCGTCAGTAAATAGCCAACAAAATTTCAACAGTTACGAATTAATTGTTTGTTATCGTTTTTCCTTTTCACAGTATAATCAAGATGCACCTTATCTTACGTTTCTCTCATAAATGAGAGATAACAACGAATTATTTACGATTTGTTGGTGTTTATTTTTATGATGATTCGAGCGGCGTCTGCCCTACTACTGAAAAAACTACTAAAAACTAATAAAAGGTAAGAGGTTAACGTGGGCTGCGCGGTACGGCGACTGATGACGGGCGGCGGCCGGTACTCTTACGTGCGACGCGCTCTGCTAGAGGTTCAACGCGACACTGCGCTCAGTAGGTGCGGGGCAGTGGGGGGTAGGGGGATTGGGGTGGGGTGCTGGATAAGTAGGATAGTACCGCTTGTGCATGCTAGTTTTTGGGTGGGAGGGATGCGGGAGGAGAGAGGGAGAGTTTTGGCCGCCGCCGCTGCTGCTGCTGCCGTCTGGATGCACTCGAGCGCCTGCGCATCAATGCTCGAGGTGCCTTCATACGGTAGACGACAGATAGCAGCAGTGCCAGCAGCCCGCCGAAATGTTGGTGAGGGAATGTGACCAATGTGGGTGGGGGTGGAGGGGCAAGGGGGGGAGAGGACGAGGGTGGTCCGGGTGGGGGTGAGTAGGGCTAGGGGGGCAAAAGCTGGACAAGTGGGGGGAGACAAGACCCGCCTACTCGGTATGTTGATTTTTTTCCGGTGCTTTTTTTCGAGGTACCATGCGACAGAGTCAGGCTGACTCAGTACGGAACTGCACTACTTGATGGTTTTCGAGAATAGGGCCGAGCAGAGTGGTACTGACCCGCAGGGGGTGCAGGACACGTGGAATAGAATTGACCTTGGTCAGGAAAAAGAAGTGTTCTTCTTGCACGGACAAAATATGTAATTATTTTTTACTGTGGGAACAAAATGACTATTTGTTTTGAATGAATAAGTATATTTGAATAGTGGCAAGTAAAGTTTTTTTCCAAATTGAATGAAAAATTTTATTCAAAATTTTGTTTATATTAAATGAATGTTTTTTTTACTATTAATAAATATTTATTTGGAATAAATAAATTGGTTGTTTAATATAAGTAAATCCTTTTTTTTTGGAACAAGTAAACCAGTTTCTCAAGACAATCCCTCCAAAGTATTGTCTCGTCATGTCTCGTAAATTCTCTCGCGGCATCACTATTGTACGCGCGATATTTTAAGAAAAAATGAAAATAGCAAGTTGAAATTTGGTATTATTATAGCTCTTACAATATTCAATTTCGGAGATATTTAATATTTCATTAAAATCTATTTCATTAAAAGAGTGAATGTCTTCCTGCAGCATGTGATTACGGTTGTACGCCTGTCATAAGTACACGGAATTTGCCAAGACTTCATTCGGGAGCTCACTACCAATGGAATTGGTAGAAAAAAAAAAAGCAATTAACTAATTCCGCAAAAAGTAACGGTCACATGACTTCTGTCGCACAGGCTCGAACCCCCGCTTGTTTTTTTTTCTCACAATAACCCGTAGAAATGCCATTTATTATCTCTGCGTTGGAGTTTTAGCCACTTGGCTCTCCAGATATTCGGAAATATGTAAATGCCCTTTTGACGAGTTTAAAATAAAAAAAAAAACGTAATACGTCTCTTTCCGATTAACCAGTTTATTATACTGGCTTTCCTACGTACCTTAAACCCGTCCGTCCTTATCTCCGGTGTTCCCGCACTAAATCACGCATGGCTCAACTCGGAAGCAACCGGCCATTTGCATAATCGTCACGCCGGTCACGTAACTGCTGCGTGCAACCGCGCGTCTTGCGCTTCAGCATCCCACTACTATCCCAATGTCACACTATATATCTGTGTACGTACATCTTATGTTGAACCCCATACACACTGCCACTTGTATTCACTCCATGGGCAATAGACTAACCCTCCCCCCCCCCCCCTGTCCCGCCGCCGCACTCTCTTCGCTTCTCACAGTTCCCATTTCTACGCCTCTACTCCTGCGGAATATCCGTCCGTTCTCTGTCCTCTAACGTTTTCACGTAGACGTTCTAAATTAGATTCTCGAAAAGCTCAACTCCAATGCGCCCCAACAGATCGTTTTTTAAACCCAATCGTGTGTAAACACCCTCAGATTTTCAGTTAAAAAACAATTTTTCACTCAGAGAAAAAATTATTTCAATTTTTTCATCACAATTTTGGCATCAGTGGACAGAGAGAAAAATTGGATTAGAATTACCTCGAAAATCGTGACAAATTTTACTGTACGAATGGTAATCGTAGAAGGAAATGGAGACTGGTAGAATTTTTATTGAAAATTAAGCAACAGTTGCACTTGAATTCTCAGTTTTGTGAATTGGAATTGAATTTAAGATCAAATTGTTCCTGAAGTCTCTCATTTAGGTTAATAATTGGGTTTTCCATGTTAGATTATCACTGATATTTCAACGAAATCTAGAATTTTCAAATTATTTTTATAATTTTCATTATCATGTGTATCTGAAAATTGCAATTCCATTGAATATTCCAGAATTCAACTGATTTTTCAATAAAAAAATCCGTGAAAATTTTGGGTGAATGAGTGATTGTGAAAAATTTCAAAATTTTTTACTTGAAATTTCAGTAATTTTTCCCTTATTTTTCAACAGTGTAATTCAGTAAAAAAAAAATTGTCGCACCAGCAGGGGATCGCTTGTTCTGTACTCGTCTGAAGGTAATGGGGCGGGACGGAAGTGAATTTTTACCAAACGGTTTCAGTAAAAATCACTTTCCGTCACAGAAAAATTATACCTGTCTCCTCCAGTAGTAGTAATATTCCATTGATTTTTTTTCAAATGAGCTAAAAATCAATAAAATACTTCATTTTTTAGTACAATTATTCTGTGAAAAATTAGAAAAATCAGGAAAAATCATGTCATTTTGTTTCTGAATATTCATATTCCACTGATAACTCAATCAAGATGTGAAATTTCCATTTCACTCCCACTGAAAACTCATAAATTTTCATGAATTCTACTTAAAACTTGAAATAACCATTTTTTCCATAAATCCGATTCAATGTCACTCTCATGTGCTTTACTATAACATCTTCCATGAAATTACCATCTTCGTTTGGTAATTTTTCTCCAAAAACTTGTTTCTCCTTGTAAACACATAACAGTGGACTAAGACATATGGTATTTCTATCATGACAATCCGTTAGCGAGATTTATCACTCAGTCCAGCCAGTGTCTCTATTGTCTCACAGCATCCGGATCAATCAAACAAACTATGAAAATTCAGTCTCAATACACGAAGCGGCAATTCGGATAATTTTAACGACAAACTCCAACCACCACTTGACAGTCTACTACGTATCGGCTTGATGACGAGAACCAATGCAGATATAGGAAGAGGGGGAGGGTGGGGACTAGGAGAGAGAAAGAGAGAGAGAGAGAGAGAGAGAGAGAGAGAGAGAGAGAGAGAGGGAGATGCAGAGGATAGTGTGGATATCAAATCGGCATGGGGATGTACCTTTGTTCGCCGACAAACCATCCCCACCTTCATCCGAATTTCATACACACAAACCGGTCTATATGGCATTAAACACGACACATACGTTGAATGTACGTACACGAATTACGCATTTCACACGGATGAAGTGGAAGCTCTCAATCAGACGTCGAGTCGGGGCGCGTCGCCCCAACGAAATCCATCGATCAACTCAATTAACTAATTGCCCATCCACCAGGCCTGCCTCCATTGCATCCCCTCTCATTCCACTCACCGTATAAATCTCATTCCTATTCGTTATTTTAATCCAAAAGTCAGCTTTGCCGAGTGGAGAAAGTGTTTCAAGTGTTCAGTGATTTTTCCCTTTCTTCAACTGATTTTCAATTTTTTTTCATTCACTTTTTTTTTTTGATTGGGGGAATTTAATGCATGCACGGAGAGAAAAATTCAATAAAAATTGGCAGAAAGAAAACACAAAAATTAGATATCGAAACGTAATCCGCGAGTGAAGTAAAATTCAATAAAAAGTTCACGCAGAGAAATGTTCAGTAAAAATTACGGAACTCACAATTCGCTCACCGATTACGGAATCGACTAAGAAAATTTAAATGATGGTAGGGGAGGATGGGGCAAAACGGCCCCCCTGCAATCGTCAATATTTTCCGATTCAATGATCCGATTGGGATGAGTTAGAGCTCGTTTTGAAGAATGAAAAATTATCTTCAAAATGAAGTTGAAACTGGGAATTTTCACAATGTCATTCACAAGTTATTGACAATTGAAGGGGGGCCGTTTTGCCCCACCCTCCCCTATCGTAATTTTTCACAGAAGATGCAGATAAAAATTACGGAACGCTCTGGAAAAATTCCGTGAGAGTTTCGTAAAATTTCCTACAACCACATTTCACTCCGAAATTACGGAAAAAAATTTTCATTCATATGGCAACCATTTCTCCGGACACGGTAAGGATTTCTAAGGTCAGTTGAAATCCTTTTACTACGTTGCCATAGCATCTCCCCTATGGCCATGATAATTTGTCCTCCTTAATTCTCTCCGTGTAGAAATTAATAAAAGTGAGTGAAATAATTTCATCACTTCAACCGTCATAACCCCTGAATTCTCGGGATAACATTGAGAATGAGGAAACCGAGCAAATAGAACGTACACTGAAGGTGATGAGGTGGTAATCCAGTTTTAAAATGCCCGTCCAGACGCACTAATAAGTCGGCAGCGAGGTGAGGGGGGAGGAGGGGGAGAGGGAGAGTGACCCCCTCCGTCAATTAGCGAGGTACTGCCTCCTTCGAGTCCTAAATAAACAGCCGCAGGTGTTCGAAAAATCGAGTAAAAGAGTGCGATTCAACATCGTTGAGAGCATACAAATCCAATGAGTGGAATATTTTCCCAGAATCAGGAGAATTAATACCTGAATAGAATTTTCAATTATCCATAAAGTCAATGTGAGACAGGAGTTCAGTATTATGATTTGCAGGAGAAAAATAATTTTCCAATGAAATTTATTGGAAATTTATTTCACCATTTACAAATTTTTGTCCATTATCACTCGTGTCCCAGTGGTTTTCTCCGATAAACGTGACGGAATGCCTGCACTGCGGCCATCATTTCCCACCCACCAATTCTCCTCCCCCCCCCCCCAACATCTATACCAATACCACAACTATACCTCATCCATTCATCTCTCCTATTTCGATTGTTATTCTCTCTGGTATCAGTGCTTACAGAAAAATATCATTTCAAACCAATATACACTACAGTCTTTCCCTCCACCATTGACTTTTTTT